AAAGAGCTACTCACAACGCTTAAGTTTCCGCCAAAAGCAAGAAAGGAGTTTTTTCGCTCACACTATTTCTATGATACGAAATTTCATGTAACGCAAAACCCTTCGTCCAGTTCATTAACAAAATTTCAATAGTTACAGAGATCGTCATTTAAATCCAATTTTGAAAAACAAATTCAAACATTATAATCAAGCTGCATTAATATTTTACAGTTTAAATATTATATTGAGAAATAAAGTCCAGTAAATTAAAAAAGATACACTTTTAACATATTTAAAAATTTAAATTTTGTTTTATTTAGTTAATTGTTGTTTGTAACACACATGAAAAAGAGATTGTGTAATAGTCATTGAAATAATGTGATAAATAATAATAGTAGCAATAGATGGCGCAACGTCTCTTAGCTGCTACTAACATTTTTTGTTTGCTTAGTTGTCTAATACGGACTTATATTTTTAGAGAGAAGCTATAAATAAACACAAACACTTATAATTTGGTTATATATATTAATAAAAACTATTTATTTGTTTAAATAAAAATAGATAAAGACAAATACACATAAACGAAATTAAAGTAAATATACTTTGGACAAGAATTCATACTGATGAAGTGAAAATAAAAACGAACATCAAATGTAAGCAACATAGATAATTACTGTTTATCTTTAAGAAAAAAGATATAAATAACTTTCTATTCGTTACTGCTGAATAGTCTTCCACGATTGAATCCAACTAAAAATAACACTTCTGTAAATCATTGTCTTACACAGAGAATCGAACTCTAGATTTTAGTGTTGTAAATCCGTAAACTTACCATCGCCTTACTTGGGAATCCAATATAAGTAATAAAAACACGTTTAATTGTATTATCGTTATGAGAAAATATAGAACCCACGCTTTGGTTTAACGACTTATATCATAAAAATTCAGAATTCACTCCCTGCGTTGAGCATAGCTCAGATATCCTATTATGTAATTTTGCGTTTAAACAAATATAAAAAACATTTTATTATGAAATTAAATGTAGATTAGTGAATTAAGCTGTTTGGAACTGGAATAGATTTCTAAGTATTCGTTATAATACCAAAACTCTCAAAAGTATAGATGAGTGTAATCTGTGCATGACGACCATTGCCCGGCATGGCCAGGTGGATGAGGCGCTCGACTCACAATCTGAGGGTCGCGGGTTCGAATCCGCATCCCACCAAACATGCTCGCCCTTTCAGCCGTGGGGGCGTTATAATGTGACGGTCAATCCCACTATTCGTTGGTAAAAGAGTAGCCCAA